CTGCAGCCATCAGTTGGCGGACTGGCCGATCGGTATGGCGAATAGTTGTGGTTCTGTCGACTTCGGTGCTGGAGTTGGCGGTACATCAGGAACCCGTCCTAACAATTGGTTCCACAAATGCGGAACTTCCTTTGACAAGCAAATTTTATCTTTCGTTGCCGTGCATAACGAAAGGCTCTGCACCTGCTGTAAAGCACTGTTACATGGAATGCGCCAACTTATTATTATTGGCAGTGATGGCAACAAGTGTTGCAAGCCATGATGGAAGAATTTTGTCGGCAAGGCAATGTCCCATTCTTACCTACCCAATTCGTCGGTGTTTCGATTGCCACATCAAAGTGACCAATTACATGTGCTGTGCTGGTTGGAGTGCGCAAAGCTCGCCGCAGCCTTCGTGGCCATGCGCGTACGTACTTCGTGGCTCGCAACGTCTTCCTTTATTTCTGTAAGTGCGTGTGACTACATCTAAGCACTAACATCTGCAGCAGCTTTCAACCCCTTTGTCACCATGTTGTCCTCGTGCAATCTTGCAGTCAACACCACGACCTCACTCGAATGTGTCGATCCATTTTATGCGAACAGTATGCAATGTAGATGGATTCGCTCTGCCACTTGCGCTTTCGCACAACCAATCAAGTGTCTACCAAAAAGCCAAATCACCTCAATCAACACTTCGCAGACAAAATCAGAACACAATTGAATGAGAATGCAGCAATGAAAGTTAGCACTTGTAATATTAGCAATGCTTTTGCGTAATATTATGGCTTTTTCGATGACGAATGAGAAAATTCCAACTCTCATACGGCAGTAGCAATGCTCATTTTAACATGGTTTCACCATTTACAATCAAACTGCTATGGCTGGATTCACGCAAGCACAAAACTTACGAATTGAAGTGACGCCATCGCTTGAAATAGTCTTTCAGTCCAACACTCGTGTCCAACTCTGATGCGGAATGGCGTCACCCTGACGCATGCGCAAGATCTTCTCGCCTAGCCTTGCATGCAGTGGTACCACAACAACATTCTCCACTTCCCTTCCTTCTCTTCTTCCCCTTCACTTATCGGAATGATTGTCTCAAGTATGCAGTGCTTACTAAGTTGGAGTTGTTTGTGGCCACTTCACGGGGTAATTGAATCTGTTGCAGCACCGAAACGGTTTTGCTAAATCCTCCTCATCCTCGTCCTCCCTCTTCGACTGCCTCGCTAATTTGGTGACCAACTCGATGCCATCAAAGTAGACCAAATGTGCTTCTCATGAGCCATGCTGACCACGCATTTTGGGTGACTTTTCTTATTTGTTTCGATTTCAACCTGGTGACGTGATGTTCTGCCTGCAAAGCAGTCGTCATCTCTGGTGCGAACAGTTAGTGAGGAGGAGTTGGCGGAAGATAAACACCTTGCAGCACTGCATGAGTGAGTTGATTTTGGATCATAACTTGGGATGGCGTGTATTCACCACGACGGTATAAGTGTCGCATCGCACACTCTCCTTCTCAACGTTTTTAGTAGGTCACGCAGATGTTGCAGCCACATTTTGGCCAATACTGTTCTAGTGCCACCCGCGGTGTGTCGGATCGGCAGGACGCCTTGCTGCTTGCGCTTTGCTAGCTTTCTCGTTGGATATGTGGGTAGCGTCGGCTACACGATATGGCGACCACAATTCCACATCCATTCAGCAGGCGCTTCAACACGAAGTACACAAGCATAGCCTTGGAGCATGGAGGGTGTCGATTCAACATTTATGCATTGCAGATCACCTCTTTCAAGAAGTGCTGCA